AAAGAGGACAGTAGTTTGATCCCTTGGCTGCTGATTACAGCAACTACAGCCTCCATACTGTGAATTACTGTATGGTTGTTAAGCCCATCAGGAACCTCAGCTGGTCTTGCTGCAGAGAGGGGCTGTAGGTGCATGTGCAAAGTATTGTTGCGAGTATGCAAAGTTGTATGGAGGAAGTGAGCCTCCTGCATTTCCCGAATTGTCAAGGGGCCTGTATGCTAATAGATTGGGCGTTTTGGATAACTTCTATTCCTGGTGACTGGAGTTCTGCCTGATAACTCCCCTGTGTATTACTGAGAGAAAAGGCTTCAAAATCTGCAACCTGCAGGTAGTTTAAAAATAACACAGCAGACAAGAGCTGCAGGCAAATTGGAAAAGCAAGGTGTGCTCTGCTTTCTGATCAATTGGTTTGTAATGCAGCACTGCAGCCTCTCCCCTGTATTGTCATTGCATCTGTCTTTGCACCTCAGAAGCAGTTAAAAATGGAAGAGGAGGTTCCCTTTTAGATGAGCAAACCCTTTGCCCAGCGTGGGAAGAACTGTCCTGGCCTTCAGGCTTTTGATATGGGGGCATCTATGTCATGCCTTATCAGTGTTAAAGTCTGGGTTGTCTACAGTCCATTTTCATTTCTAAAAATGATGGCAAGGAGGAACCTGCCTTCCTCAATGCCCACTGCTATGTCTGTGCCTGAAAAGGTGACCAGGAGTCCTGAAAAGACTGTTTGCATAGGAAGGGGGTGTTTTTCATCAAGTGGAGGAAGACATGAAAAGGGAAGAAAATGCCATGAGGTCACCTAACTCTGGAGTGTGATGTGAGAACTGTGTTGAGTTTAAGGAGAAAAGCAGTGGCAACAAGGGAACCTGTGAACTTAAACCAGTGTCCCATGAACAGGAAGAACTAGATCAGGAAAGCTAAAAATGCACTAGTGTGAAATCCAGTTGGCCAGGGAAGAAGCTCAATGACTTGAAAGACCTGGTGAACCATCTGTATTTTTACATTCCAGTTAACCAGGCTTAACAACAAAGAATCTTGTTGGCAGAGCTGGTTGGAAAATGTCTGGCAAAAGCTTCTTTTGGAAAATGCTGATTTGTCATAAGTAAAATAATTTGCAGAAATATCTTGATTTTGATTACATTTTGTTTAGTGGGAAAACAACAGTTGGTTTCAACATTTTCAGAACATAACATTTCAATTTGCTGCTTTGAAATTCCTTTTTGGTTTCAGTTGTTTTTAATTTATGTGCTATAACAATAGATTTGTATAAAGGAGCAATTAGAACAAAACACTGTACTGTTTTCAAAACGAAGCATTTTGATTAGCCCAAAATTAAATTTTCAGAATTTCATTTTATAGGAAGTTTAGAAATGTTTTGCTTTTGCTCTCTTTTGGAATGGAAAAGATACAGAAAATTCTGCAATTTTGTTAAAACAGAAAACTTGGTTTTCTGCCCACCTCCACGTATTTATAGAATGCAGGGTGTGGATAATAACAGTTGAACATGACGGTAAACTGAGGCCTGAATGATGAGTGCTAGAAAGATTCAACCCATGGGATCCTATTTATTGCAGTAGAAAAATAATGGCAGCTAGCTATGTAGCAGCTCAAGCTCACGCCTGAAATGTTATAATATTAGGTGGCCAGGCACCAGGCACATTTGTTGGCAGACAGGCAGGTGTGGATGGTTCTGCTCCTTGTATATCTATTTGCAATGTTGTAGTAATGCTTTCCTTTAAGGTACTGTTTGTTCAAGGTTTCCTATCTCAGACTCTCTTACCCCACAGCTCAGTCTCTCTAAAATAAAAGTTAATAGAAACAGACACACCATGGGCCAAATTCATCTGTGTGATAACTATGTCATTGTCAAGGTACCTCGGGGATGACTCTGGCCTAGTAAATCTGAGCAGAGTTCAAGCTCTTGAACACACATGAGGACTCAGGGAAAACACTATAAAGAGCGGCAATATGACAGAAGGGAACTGATTCCTCCATGAACACCATGCAAAAAACAGCCCTGAGCATCCACAAAGACTGAGCTGTTTTATAGTCATAGTACTCTCAGCCATGCTGTCAGCATCCTGCCTGGGTTGGCATTTCATATAGCTCTACATAGAAGCACAAGTCACTGTGTTTGCCTTGCTCCTCTTTCCTATGTCTCCTAAGGCAGGGCTACCATTTCCATCTTCAGCCAGGTCTAGATTCCCATAATTTTCACCCATCTTTATTATGCTAAATTAAAGGTTCATGCTGTTTTTTAATCTGAACTGAGGGAGGAATCTGTGGGCATTGGGAAGGGGCTGTCCTTGTCAGGAACGTTTTATTTCCATTCTGTCAGACTGAGCTTCCCTTCAAGGAATTTGGATTTCAGAAACAGCTTTAGCTCAGATAAACAAAGTAACAGATTATACCCCTCAAAAAAAAAAAAAAAAAGAGTATGAATAAGTGGCAACTCCAGCTAAATCTCTTAGATATATACCATATCTATTGGACACTTGTGATTACTTTGGGAAAATGTTCTTCCAGGAAGTTAACATTATCACTTAACAGCATTACTGTCGCTGTATGAGGTGAGGTGCAAAGAAATTAATCGGGAATCTTTCATGCCTTTTGGATCAATGTGTCAAGTCCCAATAGCACTTCTTCTGATTTATAATGCATGGTACGACATTAGCAGTTCATTAGCGAAATAAGTTTTTCACTGCTTGCCTGAAATAATTTAAAACGTGACTTCCTCCTGTATACCTGGGGAAGAGAGAAACTGAATGCCTGCAAGAAAATGAAATCACTGAAGAATCCTTATATAATCACAGCTAATTCAATTATCTTCACCTGCATGACATCTTGTTTTGACAGGAGAAGCTTGGCATTTGCGTGTATTGTACTACTCAGTGAGAATCTGGCCAGCCAGCAAACAGGGCTGTGATTCCTGGGAGGAGAAAAAAACAAAATAAAACAGTACCACAAGGTGAGGTAGCCCTCTCCCCTCCTCACACCCCCGATCTGGAATCCAGGGCTGTGAACAACCACTTTTAAGCCCCTCTTTTCTGGTTTTCCTAAAGAAACACCCCATGCCACATCAATGCAGAATACTCCTTTACACTACAGCTTCCCTTGAAAAGCCTACCCTCTGACCCTTTGCAGCAGGAACAATAGCGTGGATGTCTTTGTTATAGAGAAGAGGCTTTCCATCACAAACTTTCCAAGTGCTAGGGCACTACACTAGGTGGTTCTTGCTCTGTTCCTTCCTCTCTCCCCATCTAACAGCCTGTGATCCCTGGCTTTTTCCAGGAGCAGGTGACTGAACGTACTAATGGTAGGCTGAGTGCATCCCACATACCTGTCTTAGAAGGAGCACTCTACATGACTGCACGAATTCAAGCACAAAAGCCCTTGATTGTCGAAAGCAGTAAAGCTGTTACCTTGCTTGCAGAAGCACTATTCTACCACCTGCATAGGTGTAGTTAACAGCAATCATATGACAAGAGATGTTAAAATTAGGCACATACGGCCCCATGAGGGAATCTGCAGCCTTAAGCAGCTTTAATTTCTTACTCTCTAGAAAGCACCTCCCAGAACTGCTGCAGTGATTGTGCATCTATTGCCAGGTACATCTTACAGGAAAAGCACTGCATTGAAGTACATAGCCGCTCATCTCAGAACTCCATGCTAAAAAACAAGTCAGGAAGAGGGTTGTCACTAAAATGTTTCTAAATCCTTTTTCCTGAAAAAGGAAGAGAATTAATCTTTCAGAAACCCATCTGTTTAATCGTGTCTCTTTCTTTCTGCCAAGAGCAGCCGATGTCTGCCAGACATATGGGCAGTTCTCAATTTAATATTCATCCTAAACTTGTAAATCAGAGGTAGAGAGAATCAAAGCCCCATGGCCTATACAATTATGGGCCTATCCAATGTACTGTGTTTTTTCCCCTCTCATGCATGGCAAGACCCAGTTTGCTCCACTTACCCCACTATTGCTGCGTCTACTAGAGAATGTTCTTTTTTTTCTTTATTTTGCTTTTCCTTGTGAAACTTAATTCTCCTCAATCTTCTTTTGTACTATTACTGGTTCCTCCTAAGCTCCACGTCCTGTGTTCAACCACCCATTGCCAATAAGTGTGTAAAAATCAATGACCTTGGGGCATTATTCAGGCATAATATGCCTTATAGGATCACTGGTCTTGAAGGTACTGACAGTATTTAAGACTGCAAAGAAGACACAATATCAAATAGAGCATTGATCCAGAAAGACAGATATAAATAGGATGGAAACTATGAACCAAATTAAAGCCTCACTCTACACCAATCCAGCATAAAGTCCAAATTGGGCCCTCTGTAGGCTTTTGTTGTAAGGCTGTCTGTCTAGTGTCTCCTAGATTTTATGCTGAAATCCTTCTTGCAGACACCCCACTTCCTGCACTTGAATAAATACCTTAAACAGACTGCATAACAGAGTGTACACAGAACAACATCGACTCGAGGAAAATATTTCAAGGCTGAGCATTGTTAAGGCAATTTTAAAACGGTTGCTTTGTCCAGTAGCTCTCTTACCTCAAGCCTGTGAATGTTTTCCAAAAAAGCAATTACACTTAAGTCTTCAAAAATGCTCATCAGTAAAGAGCCATGACCCTCTTCATCACCACTACCCTCAACACAGACAGAGAAAAAGAGAGGAGTCAGACGGTGCACAGCTCCAAAGAGGCTGTAGCTGTACTCTGCTGTTGCATCTCACAATAAAGTTCACATTTTCTACTCTAACTTGGCAGTATCTTCAGGCTCAGGTCAGGGCTTGAAAACATGACTGTAATAGAACTGCAACACTCCTAAACTTAAACTCCTGAGCGTGTTAAAATATTAATGAGAATCCTTCGGAGTCCGTATTCTGACTGAACGGCAATGCTAAAGCTAATCTTACGGCTGCCATCTCTAAAACCCATATACCCTAGACAACATTTTCAAAAGTGCCTATGATTCCTTGGCAGACAAGGTTCTTTGGGTAGATGTCATATCTTTTATTAGACCAACTAAATAGTTGGAAAAATTGTTCTTTGCAAGCTTTTGGGCACTAACCACCCTTCTTTAGGCATAGGGAGAGTTTGCTGGTGTTTTGTGTGCTGTCCTGGGTTTTGCAAATTCCTTGGTGCTTTTGCAAATTTTATCCATTAGCAACCAACATTGAAAGAAGTTGTTAGTCCTTCTTTGTTATTGCTGTTTGACCAAAAGAGCACATCCTGTTTCTAATGCAAGGAATGAAAGTGGAAAATATTCACAAAATATTTCCCCATGCAACATGTTTCATAAGCAGCTCTCACAACAATTTCACATAAGGATGCTGCTACTTTTACAAAAACTATATAGCTATAATCTGTGGTCATCCCTGGACATAGTATGGTGAAAATACTGCTAACATGGTGTAGAATGGCAGAGTTCTGTAGCTTTAGCTTTGGTATGTGAGAGTTAAGTCTTCCCAGTTGGTGTGAAGTCCAATGCTCTAGGTGTCCTGATGAACTTGTGGATCCAGATCCTGTCTTGTTCCCCACTCCTATCCTAGCCCATTTTGTTTCTGTCTGGCTGCTCCCGGTATCCTAGATTCCCTAACTCCTCATCTCTGGCAGCATCTTGACCCTCTGGATTTCAGCCCTCTGGTCTTTGCATTCTTCCCTGACTTGACTTTACCAGGCTACCTTGATACTAACGCTGCATCGCCTGGCAGTCAAGAAGAGAAAAGCAACTAAGAAATTGCTATGTTTCCTCACTCTCCTAATGCTGAGACAGATGAAGAGTTGTTGGCCAAGTTATTGGCCTCTGCAAAGTTCTTACCAGAACAGACTAGGAAGCAGATCTGATTCTATCTATTGAAGAAAATCCTATTGCTATGGTCTGTGCATATTTCCACCTCCCCAGGCCTTGCCTCAGGATATAATTTCATTGCTGGACAGCAAGCTTTCTCTGTAATCAGTCTTTTTATTAGATGCTGAGCTACAGTACGCTATACCTCTGCCTTTACCTGGGAATTAAGATAATTGGCCCTTTCCTTGGACCAGAATGGATGCCATTCTGGAGGTAGGATAGTTTTGGTGACTCTATAATCAAATGGGCTTATATCCTTTTTGTAAGCAGACACACAAAAAAGAGACTATCATAATGAAAAAATATTCCTTTGCAAAATGTAAACGTAGAATTCCAATGACTTGTGTTCAGCTGGAGGAAATAAAATAGCTTGAGTTAAACCTAAATCACTGACATTTTCTGTTAGATAAATTTCAAGCAGAAGTGGAAATACCCTTAAATCACAGCACCCCTTTCTGGCCAATACCAAGCACTGTCATTGGGTTATGCTGGCAGGAAACCAGTGCCATTCTCATGATGAATACCAGAAAAGTTTTAATATCAACAGGAAATGATGATGCAATATCTTAGAAAAGAAAGCCCAGTATCTTGGTTTTATATTCCATATTTATCTTTCTTTGCATAGGTCGGTACAGAAAGGCACTTAAGTACATGCCTAAAGTTTCTAAGAACTAGTTATGGGATGCTGACTTCCACTAGGACTTAAGCTCCTAAGACACTTGAAACTGGGATTTAGGAACCAAAGTCCTTTAAAGTGCATTTGCAAGTTCTACCCTTAGACTATACTATCCATTTTGAGAAAATGCATCTCAGGTATACAATATACTTTTTGTTTTAAACGTATATAGTTTTTCCATGGTAGACCTTGAGTTGTTTACAAAATATGACTTATTCATGGGCTTCTGTTGGTACACTGTCCGCCTTTATATATGTAGCATCTTAGTCTATATTTCAACACAGCTAGAATATTAGTGCTCTGAACTGATCTTCATATTCTCTTATACTCAGAGTGGTATGTATTTTAACAGACTCCATCTGCAAGAGACACCTTATCTTAAAAGAACTTTGAGATAACAAAGAATATGCAGCCCACTGAAGTCAGATTGTTATGCAGAACTATAAATTATTGTATTAATTTATACCACTAAGTAGTGCTGTGGCCAAAGCTGAGAACAGCTCATTCATGTGCCTTTTATGTTCTCTTTTAGGCTTCGATCTTGGACTTAAATCCGTGAGGGTAGAGCTCTGTACCTAACCAGAGGCATACTACTCTACTTAGGGGAACTATGTCTGGAGATCAGTGCAGGATCAGGGTCTTAGTAATATCAGTTTTTAGCTTCATGAGACATCACCAGAATGTGTTCTTCCCCACACCTAGACAAGGAAGATAATTAGCCACCGTTTAAGGCAAATCTTCAAACTCATTGGTGATCATTACAATGGTTCTCTCTATTTTTAAAGAGAATGTATTTCAAATAAGTGCAAAAAAGGTTTTAATTCTATTTAATATTGTTATTCCTTTTGATGAGAGAACCTCATTGTGGACTAATTAAACCACTTGTTATTGTCTGCTAATATATGAACAGCTACAAACAGGGTTTGAATGCCACTTTGACTCGGGGGGGGGGGGGGGGGGCGGTCTGCAAAAAAAATTTGGCTGCCCATCACAATGCCTTAATAAAATTGAAGGACTCCCCTCCCTCCCCTCCCCACCCCCCGGTATGATTTTAAAATCTTACTGGGTGGGGGGAAGGGTTGTCTCTTATGAGTTCCCCTGTTATTCAAATCCTGGCTGCAAACATCACATTGTATTTCAAGAATCCTGTACAAATCATTCCTTGAGCAAGAGGCTGAACATCACAGGGTGCATCCCAACTGGCACGCATGTGCAAGGGTGCATGTTTCCTGCAGAACAAATAGCAGTAATACATATTTGTGCCACTGTTATTTGTGCCTGGGCATGTCCCTGCACACACTCCAATGTGCGGCAAAGTGACCCAGGTCGGGTAGGATTGTGATGGCCCCAGCAGCCTTACTTGGAATCCTGGAGGCCTCCCGGGGCAGCAGCAATGCTGAGCC